TCAAGATAATTCACCTGCCTTGGCCTGGTCAACCTGGCAGTATTCAGCCCGCAAGCTAATCATGGAACATTTTCTTTTGTATAAAGATTATTGTACCATGATTTGTTTGGCACAGTCTGTCCTCAGACAAGTGTAAGATATAATATAATAATAATAATACTTCAGTCCTTGATTTAGGTGTGAATTTTTGTTCATATTAGTTATGTGTACTGACGCGGTGCAATACCGTTAACCTGATTTTGTGGGAATCAGTCAACGATTGTGATCAGCTCAAAGTCTCTTGGTCCTACCCTAATGGGCATCTTTCACCCAAGTATTATCAATGGCTTTTCTGAGTTTTCACTGTTCGATTGATTTTTCTATCATCGGCTTGCTCATCTGTTTCTCAGTTCCACACAAATCGCCGTTTCCATGGTCTTGGCGTCGAGCTTTTTCGCAAACCTGTAGAATGAATTCAGAACGAACATTACCGTTTGGGTTTATGTGATCACGAAAAGAGATAAGGCATGATAATAACTAATCAATGCAGATGGCTTGTGAAAATGAGTGCTCTTGGAACACACACACTCCTATAGACCGGCTCAGTTGATGTCTCCTCGCAGATATGACCCATACGGAATGCACTTTATTCGGATCACATGATCGCCGGTGTATTGGTTAAGGAATGTGTTCAAGCACATAGATACGATGTACCTTTTTCCACCCAACACGTCTTGACGATCGTTCGTAATTGGTTTGATTACGGACTGTGCTGATTAGATTGTGGATATTCGTCAACGTTTACGTGAATTGGCGTGGGTGTCTTATACCGGGGCGGGGAGATGAAGAATACCTCTCTCTCTCCCAATCAAACGGCTGCCGTGTGATCCAAAAACAAGGAGGCAAGTCAAACGGTGCTAATGAGGATGTCAATCTAATTTATTTGCAAGGGTTCATTTGTTCTGACTATTTCTCGTCGGTGAGGGTATCGGAGTGGATAAGTTAGACGGATCCTGAAAGCCTCAGTTTGGTTGTGTGTCGGATTGTGGCTAGTCTCCCTTCCACCCTCTCCCGCCTCGCGAAATGCTTCCGTACAGCCAGGTGTCCGCAATAACCTCTACTGAGGAAGCCCTTCTCAGTACCTTTACGTACCCGTCGTGTTTCCTTTTCACAGTGGTAGAATGAAAAACAAATATATGACGCTATATCCGAGTCAGTGAACCGGTGGCAGTTCTTCTGAAGGGAATTGGCTAATAGCCCCGATTCTAAATCAACCAAGAAGAGGCCTACGAACCGCACACATAAAGACCTTCCTTATACCGTAATTTGTTTCACACATTCTGTACTTAGACGTGTGTGAAATATGCTATTCTGTGTACAGGCTTTTTCATGCCAAGATTTCTATTCCACTGTACAGCTTACTGCACCGTAGCGGCGGGATCTTATCGACCGGATGAAGGTAAATTAAATTCAGTCATAACTTTGTATCGTACACCTCTCTTTTTTAGGGACTCGACGCACATGGTTCGCTACTTGATTTGTTGAATTGTAGGCTGTCGCGGCTACTAATTTCAGTCTTTGAAACGAGATTAATAGGTCACACCGTGCGTTGGTCGTCAGGCGAACTCTCAGAGAAAAAGGCACATCGTGCTCCATAAACTGTTAGATGCACAGCGACGGGGGCGTGCGAAACCGAATGAGCGATGCAACGACCGAACTACAGTTTGCCATGGTTTCACACGGGCGGAATCGTTCCACTGAACATTTGATGGGCTTTAATCCGGGTAGTTTCGCTTGACATGCTGTGCCATGACACCGCGACATGAGAGCCGATTGATAGACTTGCTTCCGTTATCCAACCGAGACAGTTGCGATGCCCATAGCTCCGGAGCTTCTTCTGGTTGGTCTTGTGGACAAATGAAGCATTTGTTTGCAATCTGGGATTTGGCGGACGCACTTTATGAACGTTATTAGCTGATTATGGGCAAAACCCTGATCAAACGGCGCATAAAATTAATTTCCTAAGTTGACTACTTGCTAATAGACAGTAGGCAGTTACGCATTGCTAAATTGATTGAGCCAATTAAAGCAAAACCTGTTTGTAAATACAATTTCTGTTTCCGTTTGATATGAGCATATTTAACGGTCACCTAAGAGGTGCGGACATTCAGAGTATTGGCTTTAAATGGAACGTGAATATGGAAATAGTATTGCCTCAAAAAGAATTCACTTCAGTTCTCCGTTCGGCCGCAAACAACTTTTCATAAAATAGACATCAAACGGTTTATTCAAA